TGCTTTCCCAGGTGAAGGTGTTGCGTTGAATTTAGTACAAGGTGGTACTGCACCAACAAACAAGCAACGCGAAGTGGCATTGGAAAGTGGTTTAGAGCAGCTGAGAAAAAGTACCGGAGAAATTTTGATATGGCTCGAAAGACTTCTGGAATACGTGAATGAGGTGAGGGAGAAATATATGATTTTTATTTTTGTTCGTTCATTTCTTGTTAAATTTGTTCCGGATTTTGCATAACTTTCATTTCGAGAAGATAGAGGGGAAAGCAGTAAGCCCTCCGTTTTGCGTACTACTGCGTTATTGACGCCGCATGCATATGAGGGATCGATTTTCGACTCCTTCAGTGGAAAAAAAAACCAACCGCTCCTCGGCCCCTCGTCTGAATAGCTAATTGGTACCACATCGACACATGCTCCGGAAAGGTTTTTGATTTTTTTCATATTTTAGGTACTTGCGAAGCCGGAACTCCCGGTTGATTCGACACTTGGACGTCGCATGATGGATATTGTGAATACGGCAGCAGCGCATATGTCGGAGGAAAAATTAGATTTTATAGTTAAAAACAGCTTAAGGGTGAGTTTTTCCCTCAAAAATACTCGAAGTCTTTTTTCTAGCAGTTTTTCTTGGGTACTTTTATTCTATTAAAGTTTCGAAATTTATATGCTGGTGGAAATGGCTCAGTGGCAGTTAGAGGATCTCACATCGAAAATCGAGGATTCGATCCGTCCTAGGATAACCAGTGCTTTTGCGTTTTTATGATAAATTAAATGAAAAGGATGGGAGGGAGAAGAGGGCATGGGCCATTAATTTGACAGCTGATTTGTCGGCGATTCTGTGCCAGGAACATGCAAATCTGGAATCCTCCGATATTCATAGGAAACTATGCCAGACCCTTCAATCCTGGACTGCTTTCCTCTAGTTAGTACCCATCGCCTGTTTGATGTATGTGCGCAGAGTTTCAGAGACTGCCAAGTTGAATGTTTTTTTGCTGTTTTTTTAATCAAAACAGTTACCGTATTCATTTTTTTTTTTTTTTTTCAGGATTATATGATGATTTCATATCTGGCAAGTTTGACGAAGACGCAACTGGCATTGCATGAACATTTAGTCGCTCTATAGTGATGAATTGTTGACTGATGTCTGTTTTCTGAGGCTTACTTCAACCTCAGCTTTTTTTTTTTGGACGAATTGTGCCCTCCCTCGGCTGATTTTCTGATTTTATTTTTCGTTTTTTTATTCCCATTCATATTTTTCCTGCGCACGTTCTGAACCAGACAGCAGTAAAGTGAAAAAGACATCATAGCAATACAAAGAAAAGTAAATTAAAGCGAGCCGTAGTCTGTGAATAAAAGCAAAAAAAAAGCAAAGTAGGAAAATTCTGAGTCTATGAATAAAAGCAAAGAAACCGAGTTTAACTGACAACTTT